CAGGGCTTTCTGGAGTTCCTGCTGAGCGACTTGCCTGACGCTCGTTTGTTGAGGGACATTTTTGTCTTTAAGGTGAGGGAAGGAGGGCAAGGCACTGATGGAGAATGGGTTTGAGAAAAAATTCTTCACAAAATGTAAACAGTTGGATTACCACAATAACGGATGTTCTGGCTGCAGGTTATACCGATGCTAAACCCTGACGGTGTGGTGGTGGGAAACTACCGCTGCTCACTCACAGGCCGCGATTTGAACCGAAACTACCGCAGTCTGTTGCGCGACTCTTTCCCCTGTATTTGGTACACTCGCAACATGGTGAAAAGGTGAGTGATGATTGTGGCATGCTAATGTGACGCATCTTGTGTAGTGAAGTCACTTTCAAAGCATGTTTTCTGAGCTTTCTGTTGGTTGGCACAGCGACTTCGTGTGACCAACTTGGAAAAACGAGTGGAATCTGCATGAGGAAATCTTTCACTCTCACACTAAACACACAGATTCCTATGGGAATGATTGGATTTGGCAATGGTAAATGTGACCACACTTGTACACCTGGTTAATTTGATGATCCCATAGGTTGCTTGCCGAAAGAGAAGTGGTGGTCTACTGTGACTTTCATGGTCATAGCAGGAAAAACAATGTGTTCATGTATGGATGTAATGATCGGAAAGATGCCTCGCGGTGTCTTCAAGAACGCATTTTCCCGCTTATGATGAGCAAGAATGCTAAAGACAAGGTTAGCTGTGGCCATCATTGTTGTAATCGCATGGCATATACATGGCATACATTTTGAATGAATGCTTTTGTCTTTTAGTTTTCCTTTAGGAGTTGCAAGTTCAAAATGCATAAAAGCAAAGAGGGCACCGGACGTATCGTCATGTGGAGACTAGGCATTAGGAACAGCTACACAATGGAGTCTACTTTCGGAGGCTCAACATTGGGTACGTTCTTCAAGTTGTAAAAAAGTTGTCTAACTCTTATATATTTAAGGTTTGCAGACTGTTCCCTGGCTGTGCGCGTTCATGTGTTTTGTATTCATTTGTAGGGGACAGGAAAGGAACACACTTCAGCACGCAGGACCTGAAATCAATGGGCCATTGCTTTTGTGACACTCTGCTTGACTTTTGTGACCCCGACCCAGCCAAGGTGGCCTGTCTTTGAGCTTTACTCATTTTTAATATTGCATAATTGATTGGAAAAAAAATCCATTTAATACATTTTAAACAGACTACACACTGTCTGGAGGAGTTAGGGGTGTTATTGAGACAAGAGGTCAGACGGAAGCTGGGAAGAGAAGTGGACTCTTTGGAGGATCTGTCTGACATTGACATCGAGTCCAGGTAAAAGTGCAGTCAAATAAAAACTATTTGAAACATGTTCCATTCCAATATTTTTCTTGTGAACGTTTGATAACTCTGTTGATATTATGTGCAGCACAAGTGGATCAAACAGTACCGAATCAGATGGACTTCCTGTTCATCTTTTAAATGCCACAAACAAGGTGCAGTATGCCGCAAACCCTCTCAGTGACATCCTTAAGACGATTTTTCTCAATTTTCCTTTATTGCTCTGTGGTTTGTATGACAAAAACAGGGAAAGAAAAAACAACTACGAAGCCGTAAAGAAAGGAACAGACTCCGGCAAGAACGAGTACGGAGTGCAGGACCCACAATTATTCACGGGAACATCAAACATTTGGTAGGTCTTACTAAATATGCATTTTTATAGGTTATTTCGAATTGATTATGATCTAAAATCTGCAAAATACACAAACGTTTAGGTAAAATAATCACATTTATTTATTTAAAGGTGCACAATGTCACATGTTTTTTAGGCCAAAACATTTTTTGTCACATACAGCAAATAGCTGCCTTTACCCTGAACACACTGTAAAAAATGTGGTCTCTGTAGACACCCCAAGCTCCATAAACGGCAACAAAAACAAACTGGGCCAACCCGCACCATGAAACATAACAAACAGTGTTCCAGCAATTACAATTCTTACACATAGCCTCTTTAAATAAATACATGTATGCATTGACATAAATAATAAATGTATTTGATAAGTTTAATTGCTTTTAATCGTATTTAAAAGTATACGGTTTCAATTAGAAGTGTAATCATTATAGCTGTATGCCTTTCTGAAGGATCCTGTGCCCTCAAGGGAAGATGCAGTCAAAGTGAGACTCCAAGAGAAAACTATGGGCCACATGAAGGACACTAAGAAACAAAGGTAATGAATCCGCATTCTTTGTGTGCGTATGGTCCAAATTGATCAGCAAAAACACAAAAATGGGTGCTATATGATGTAAAATACCAAAGAAATAGGATTTAAACTCAATAAAATGGATAAAACCATGTGTTCTCTGTGATGTGTAGGTGCCAAGTTCAGTCAGGGCGAATCAGACTGTGAGGTCTTGGATCCCTCATCCCACCACTCGCATAGGTGTTGTAGATCATGTTGCAGATCTTTGGGGGAACAGACTAGATAAGGTAACTGATCTGAATAGATATTTACATTATCGGGCTTCAAAAGAAATAATTTGACCATCAAATAATTTAAGATATGACGGAATACATGGAACAACAAACAAAAAGATAGCCTATTTATTCCAGGTTGCTCCTGCCACTAATTTGCGCAATGGTTTTTCATCTTTTCAGCACTCTGTTTCAGGTAGATACACTTAAATATATAAAAATGAATCATATGCTTTCCTTTCCATCAAGAGAAGTTTATGAAGTCTGTTTTTTTCCCCCCCAAATTTTTCAGTCGATCCTGGGGACAAAACGAATCAGCACACTACCTCATCTGCCCCCCAGGGGCAATTGCAACGGCAGACCCTCTTAGTAACTGGAGGTCCTAAAAGATGTCCGTCTGTACCAGCCTCCAGAGAAAGAGCCTTGACTATACCAGTTCAACCGTACACAATGCACTTCTACCCCGATTTCAGACCCCAACCACAAATCAAAGGTATATCTTTTTTTTAATTACTTACAGGCAGCTTTTCATCAACATTTTGACCACACTGATGACATCTTTATCATTTTGCTGTCTCACAGAAAGATCTCATTTTTCAGACATTATGCAGAGGAGGTAAGTAGGCTAACTACATCACATGACAGAAAATTACACTTCACAGTGGAAGTGGCATAATTATACCAGAACTCTTCTTTTTCTTTTTTTTTTGAGTGTGTAATACATATATTATTTACATAATTTATTTATTTAGCGTAACATTTATTATATAAATAATTATATATAATGTAACTTTATGCATATAAATAATGTACATACTACTAGTATACATGAATTTAGATAAATAATCCATACATTATATATATATATATATATTATTTTATAAATTATGTATATTTTTAGAAATACATAATGATGTAATCGTGTATGCATAAAAATAATGTCTATGTATGTGTGTATATAAATAATCTCAAATATATATATATACAGTATATACACATACACATACATATATGTGTGTATATATAACATTATATGCATACACAATTACATTATATTATTGTATAAGTTATATTATGTATGAAATATTAATGTAGATTTAAATCCACAAACTATATACACACACACACATATATATATATATAGTACATATATATATGTGTGTGTATATAATATTATATGCATACACAATTACATTATATTATTGTATAAATATATTATGTATGAATTATTAATGTAGATTTAAATCCACAAACTATACACACACACATATATATATATATATATATATATATATATATATGTATATACCATTATATGCATACACAATTGCATTATTTATATTATTGTATAAATTATATTATGTATGAATTATTAATGTAGTTTTAAATCCACAAACTGTCTTGAAACATTAAGATAATAATAAATAAATATAAAAAAATATGGACTTTTCCCACAGTCAACAGAAACTCAGGCAGGAAAGGCAGATGCAAAAAACCCAAATCCCTATCAAACACTTATTGCCACTAGACAACATGGGAACATTGAGGATCAGTCATAAGACAGATGGACAAGGTAAATATTAAGTATTTCTTTAAAAAAAGACCATGTCTGATATACTTGGACAAACGTAATATATGTAGAATTTAGACTGAAATATTAATTTAAATAAAGCCTCCAAATGTTTTTGTCAGTGTATTATGATACTTGTAACCCGATTCATGTTACCATATGCTGTGGCTGACCTTTCATCACCAGATAGAGAGCAGTCCAAGAGGGCCGCTGACCAAATCAGGAAACAAGATGGCTCATGTATAGTCCCTGACCTGCACAGGTTTAACTCATTATTTTTCTGGAGGTTTGCTTGACACCTCACACAGACTGCAGAATGTCACCAGCCGTTCTTACCGCTGTCATTGTGTGTTCCTCTATAGCGATGCTCAACTGTTTGGGAACCAGGCTGAATTCAGAAGTCTGAGGTTAGGGAGGCTGCCTAAAGGAAGCAAAACTCAGTTTTTTGGAAGAATTTCTGCTTCTACAGAAAACCTGAGTGAGCAGTGAGGAGAGGTATGTCGCAAAAAGAACATTTGTACATTTTGCTCAATCGTAGCAAGTTAACTCATGAGCTGATTTCCTTGACAAGGTTTCATCTGCAGTTCCCTCAGAGTCCATGCAAGTGCACGACGAGTCCACTTCCACAAACATCTCACACACAGAAAGTCTCAGGAAAAGCAGGTCAAGCCATGCAAAAGCACATTTTAAAGCCAAGTGCCTGAATACAGAATGTAATCATATGTCATTCACCATTTAATTTCAGTTCAGTGCAGTCCATCATTTTCTGTAAGAAAGACTAGAAAACAAAGACTTTTCTTTATTTTGTTTTTACTTTTTTAGCCATTTTCTAAATAAATGATAATAAATATAATCAAGTTATTCTGATATGAACTTCCCTTCTATTGAAGAGATGTCCTTTCTTATTTGAATATTCTGAATATGAATTGTGTCTAATTAAATAATGTGTAGACGTGATTTCTAATGAAGCTGATTTTTAAATTAAATTTATAATTTTGTTAAATTCAGCATCAATAAATAATACAATTTAGTGGTTTATAGCACTGGGGTGTGTTCTGTCTGTCTTAAATGTTTGGTTTTTTTTGGCCCACATACAAAATATAAAACAAGGCAAGATTTGTTTGTATAAAATAAGGCACCAAGACATCCGCATGCAGTAACAATCCAGCTCAATTACTGACATTGTCCTCTAGTGGTTGCCACTGCCATCTTTGTAGTCTTTTTTTTTTGTCTTTTGTTGATTGATATTTAATCAAGTTCATCAGTGCAGGTCTCGTCATGTTCTTAATTCGTGAATCCCATCAAACTGTCTCAAATGGAAGCGACTTTCGGTGTGTCTGACCATTGCACGCAAGGCAACAAATCCAAAAAGAGCCTGAAAAAAAAACCAAAACAGTTTTCAAACATTAAGTATTTTTTAAAAACAATTCCTTTGGAACATATTTAAAGGATTACAATTTCATATAATTACACAAATATATATATATACAAATGTATACCTCTGCAAAAATAAATAAGGCCAGTATTATATGAACTCCTCTCTCCAGAGGTTGAATGAGAACAGCCTCATTGAAAAGCTGGAACAGAATCAGAGGACACTGGAGTAGAAGAGTCAGGAGCCAAAATCCAGCTAATTCTGGAACCTATTAAAAAATAAAGGATGTTGGATTATTATGCAATCATGTAGATTATATTATATTATATTATACTTATATTGACCTTTTCTTGTAGATTTCCAACGTTGCCCAGGTAGAGTCTGATGGCCTCAATCAGAGTCATTAAAATAAGAATTGTGATCAGGATGAACTTGTAATAATCTGCAAGGGCTGGGTACTAGACGAAAAGCATATTTATTATATTCATATATATTTATTATGTTAATATGATTAAACAGCAGTCAATGGTGCCAGACTGAATTGTTAAAATATAGGTAGAGGAGAATCACCTTTAGTTGTAGCATCACAACCTCACTGATCCACCAGAAGGGAAAGAACCACATGTTAAAGTAAAGCGACATCTGAAGAGGCAGACTCGATACTACATCCTTATCTGTTGAATAAAAGTACAAAAAATGTAAATTACACCACACTAAAACTAACGAGCTGGCCATCTAGTCTATTTCTGTGAATTATAAGCACGTTAAAGGGATAGTTCACCCAAAATTCTGTCATTAAATACTCACCATGATATCGTTCCAAACCCGTAAGAATCTTAACGTTAATCTCCGGAAGTCAAATTAAGATCTTTTTGAGGAAATCTGAGAGCTTACGCAACTACCATTTTGATGCTTCAAAGTGTTCATTAAGAGATCAAAAAACTAATCTATTTAAAGGAGTAGTTCACTTTAAAAAAAAAAAACTTTTGCTGATAATTTACTCAATTTAATTGTCTTTCTTTCTTCAGTCGAAAAGAAATTAAGGTTTTTGATGAAAACATTCCAGGATTTTTCTCCATATAATGCACTTTACTGGGCACCAAACGGTTCACGGTCCAAAAGACAGTTTCAGTGCAAACTGTTCAAAGGGCTTTAAACGATTCCAGACGATGAATAAGGGTCTTATCAAGCTAAACGATCACTCATTTAAAAAATAAATAACAAAGTTTTATAAGCTCAAAAGCTTGCCTTGCTCTGTTTTGTGTGACTGTCCTGTTCAAACTCGTTCATCAATCAAAATGAACGAATATTTTTCCGAGTCAATTCGTTCATTTCATTCATTGAATGAACCAAATGACTCGAAAAAAGATTCGTTCATTTTGATGAATGAGTTCGAACAGGAGAGTCACGAACGTGCATCACAGTACAGAGCAAGGCGCACATTTGAGCTTATAAAACTTAAACTTTGTTATTTATTTTTTTTAATGAGCGATCTTTTAGCTTGATAATACCATATTCATCGTCTGGAATGGTTTAAAGCCCTTTGAACAGTTTGCACTGAAACAGTCTTCTTTTGGACCTTGAACCGTTTGGTTACCAGTAAAGTGCATTATATGGAGAAAAATCCTGGAATGTTTTCATCAATTCTGGAATTTTTATTGTTTTAATTGTCATGTCTCAGGCGGTTAAATCAATTTATGAATGCATCTTCATAAACCGAAATAAATGGAATCATAAAAATATTTTAATTCCGTTTTTAATTTTAAAATTAAGACAAAATTTACTTTTTAGGTTCTAGGTTTGATAAATCTATAGTGAATCGCTCAATTCCTTAACAAATCGTTCAGATGTGACTGCTTTGTGAAAGACAGGTTCAACGGATTTATTCAAAAAGATCCGACTGAAAAGAACGGTTAACGCTGCTGACTATTTAGGTAACGTTATCGTTAGGCAGCTCGGTAGGTTCGAGACACTTCCACGGTTACCAACACCACTTAACAGTGCCAAAAAGCATTATTATATCAACAAATCAGGTAAGCAATATGTCATCTAACACGAGCTCAACACATAAGCTCGGCTAACCAGATGAATTAGCCCAACAGCTAGCAGCTCAACACAAACGTCACCGTCTCAACAACCCAAACACACTTACACTGGTTAAGGAAATTAGCGTGTTCTTCGGGAGAGGGTTGTGTTCGGCTTTGGTCCACAAACACGGTTCTGGAGAAATCTCCAAGCCGTCGCCGTATGGGTTCAGGCAAGTCCATGTTGAGAAGCAGAGACGCGAGTCCGTAGCAACGAAGGCGGATCTCATGCGGTTGCGACGGTCCAGCTGTGAAGGGGGTGTGCTTTCTCTTTTCACTCTCACACACACATAAACAACACTTCTATGCTGAATTAACCCAGAGTGTATTGTGAAGAAGGAAAGGTAATAAGTGGGTTTGAGTATAAATAAGTTATATTATCTTTAAAATGAGTAAACTAGGAAGCCCACATAAGAAAGAAAACTTGCCTTCGTAATTTAGACATAAAAAGTCGATTCGAAAAAGTAGAATCTATTTGCAAGTTATGACTTTAAAAATCAATTTTGACATCAAAGTAAAAATAAATGATGACATATTTTGTCAAATGAAGCCTCAATAAAATAATTCATATATAATTCAGAAAATTATAATTATAAATATTATAATTCAGAAAATAATTCATATATAATAACTTTATTTTTTGAAAACATTTAACTTGCATTATTTACAGCTATTTCTCTAGTTCCAAGCGATGAAAATCATTCAAAATCAGTCTCTTGTGTAACGCCAGCATTACAGGGTTTGTTTGTACGATTAATTCACAAGAAGGTTTCCATGGACGTCAAAGTGTCCGAGCGATCCACAGTGTCGTAAAAGCGTAGACAGGCCTTGTACTGCAGGAGTTTCTCAGTCAGGTGACTGTGTCCCACCCCACTACTCAGCTCCATGCTCAGATCTGTGTACCTGCCCAAAAACATTATAAAGGCTCAGCTGTCAGTCCTGTAAACACTTAAATGTTTCATTATTGTCATATTCAATTTTGAACCGTACCTTTGTGATATTCTCCAAAACACCAGTGTGTTTATAGTCATTAATATGGCCAGCGTAAAGAAAAACCTCTCCATGTTGCCACTGCCGAGGTTATTGGGATAGAAGTTTCCTGTAATTATTAAAAAAACAACAACAATCTTTTCGTATTAAATATGAGTTCATGCTGTAAGATGTTACATCTACTTTGCACCACAATAGCAAGTTCAACATTTTCAAGAGAGATGTATGTTTACCTCCAGACACAAAATATAGGAAGTGAATGAGGAAAGCTCCTAGAAAGCAGCCACCTCCGTATGAGAGCGTTAGGAAATGCAAGGAGACGCCTCTAAGGTTGCTGGGAGTCAGACAGAAGGAGATGAGAGAGCCTGGGAAGAGGAACAGGAGAGATGGGTGAGTTTGGTGAATCCCTGACTAATTATTGGAAGTGAATCTGTGTTAGAATATATTGTACAGTGAAAAAAAATTGGTGTAGGATTTACTCTGAAACAATCTTCACTCCGAAATTGCTAGTATATTTCACATATAATTGCTAAGAAATGGAATATTACATGAATTGCAAATCACACACTGAATCTGTGTAAAACATACTCAAATAATCTTTTTTTTTGTGTTTGAACAGTTTTTCTTTAAAGTGATTCTGTTATATATATATATATAAACTTAATTGATTTGACACCTTGTTTAATAAGCGCTTTAAATAGACAGTTCACCAAAAAATAAAAATTCTGTCATGCACTCAATCTCATGTCGTTCCAAACCCGTAAGGCTTTAATCTTCAGACCACAAATTAAAAGGTTAAATTAAGTCCCCATTTGTTGAAAATCAAGCTTTATATATATCTATGTGGTGTTTTAATATGCTTTAAGACAAACCATGTGCAAATTCATGTCAACAAACCAATAACCAATCACTTCTACTGTATGTGTAAACAACGAGTAGAGGCGGGGCTAGTTTGCGTATTCATAGAACCTTGTATTCTAAATTAGGCAAGGGTGTAAAATTACATTTAAGCTATTTTAAGGCATGAAGAAACTATTTTTCCAGAATAAAAAAACTTTCAAATGTGTAATTTTGGTGATCAAAGATGAGTTTTAAGGGACAAAATGATTAACTACAGGGGTACCTGAAGAGGTTTTTGTCCTTCCATTGAAAGTCCAGGTGACCAAAACTTTAAAAGCAATTGAGCTGTTGCTCCCCAGAAAAGGGTTCGGAGCCTTTTACAGCTTGTGCCTCGGGGACTAAAAAATAACGAAACGTCTGTTTGGTTTTGATTATCATCTCTATCGCGGTTACACTCATATGACATTGCAGTTCTTCATCATCATGAAAGTTTATTATCTGCATGCGTTTTAAAGCCATATCTCTCTAAATTTCTGATACATGTTTTTTTTTAGCACACATATCCGAAGCATGCGCACAGAGAGCTGGATGCATCCCGTGAGTATTAAACTAAGTTCTCTTTAAAGTCTTATTGTGCTAAAACGGTCAAATACACACAAGGTTATGTCAAAAACACGCCTGAGTTTACTCCTCAGGTTTCATTAAAAAAATATGTGTTTTGAAGATTAATCAAAGTCTTATGGAACAACATGAGTAAATTATGACAGATATGTTTTTTGGTTACTGTATATATTTTAAAAGTGAATTGAGAATATTTACACGCTGGTGTTACGAAGGCCTCTGCCACTCCCAGTAAAATGTACTGGGGCGTAAGCTGGAAACAGGTCATAGAGGACACTTCCAGGACCTCTCCTGATAGTGTCTGCTCCACTTGTGGATAATCCTTCCTGTGGATTTCGGAGATCCCCGCAAGTAGTGCTGAGAGCGCTGCACAAGCATGACCCATAGCTGTAGGAGTATGAAATGTAAAGTCTATTGTCTATAGTGTAGCGATGTATGAAAAACAGATCACAGAAGTCACTTTCAAAACAAAGCGGCTTTCTGTTTGTCAATGTGGCGAATTCAACATCAAAATTTGACATGATGCAAGTCGGTATGGAAAGTTATAATAGTGTTTTCTTCCTAATTGTGATGTATATCCGGGTGAAACAGCTTTCTGAAAAGTAAAACTGTAGGATGGGGTTTGATTTTGTGCATTGGGAATTGATTGGATGATTGTAGTTTGCTATTGGTCGATGTGACTGATAGGTTGTCCCGCCCTCATGCAAGTAAACATTTCTAGCCTTTCATCAGTAGCCCCCCCCCCACCCCCCATCAAAAACCTATGCCCTTATTTTTAATACTGTTTTGGATATAAATGGATATAGATCATCTTTACCTGTAGTATAGAGTCCAGCTCTTATAAAAATACTGTTTTATACTATAAGAAATTATATGATCAATAAGTTATGACTAGATATGTGTTTACAATGTTTTAACTCATCAAAATAATTTAAGCAAATTTAAACTTTTTTATATTGTTATTACAACTCTTTTTTTAGTTTAATATAATTTAAGTTATACGTCTAAGTTGATTGTACTTAATTTAAGAACTTTAGTTTTTTTACAGTGTACAGTGTGTGAGAAAGTAGGTGATTCAGCATGTAAGTGAACTTATCCCAAAATCTAAAAGAATTCTCAACAATTTCAGAGCTTTTTCAAACTTGTTTGATCACTTAGATCAATAGAGTGATCATTTGCAAACATGAGTTTGTTAGTTGATAGAAAACATTTATCTTCATTGATGAGGATTTATCTTTAATTTAGCAGTATTTCACTGCGGCTCGTACCCCAGTAAAAAGGGTGTAGCGACGCCCCTGGTAGCTAGGATCCTCACTTATAAATGTGGCTGGTGAGGGCAGTATTTTCTTTGGAGACTGGTAGCAAGTGTGCACGAGCTCCAGCAGCGGTGCTAAGATCAACACCGGCAGAATACTGATGACCTTCATCACTGCTACTGGCAGGAGAAAACCGTTGAGTTTTAAGTTGGAATGCATAGTCTGCAGATAATAGCCAGATGGAATCTGTTAAAAGAATTGTAGAGATATTACAAAAGCTAATTTCTGAAACAAAGACTTGTATAGAGCTAAGCATTAAGGTGATTTTTCTACACACTTGTATACCTGGGTGATGCAAGCTCGATACAAAAGCTGAAGTCCAAAGAGAGGGAAAAGTTTGACTAGGATCTTGACGTTTTCCACACTGGTCTCACTGTAACAACCCCCATTGTTTTCCTTGGCACGGTCTAGCCAGTTGGCAACATCTCCGCTCAAATGGCGGTAATGGAGACAGCACATTTTAAGAGAGTTCAGGAACACACCGAGTGTAGTTAGCAAGGAACTGCCTGTTTTTCCACAGAACAAAATTACAAGTTGTTAAGGGGCAAAATGCAACATTGATAATAATAAGAAATGTCTCTTGAGCAGCAAGTCATCATATTAGACTGTTTTTACTGAAGACCGGATATTTTCAAATGTAATTTAAATTTCTAATATTCCACAATATTACTGTTTTATACAGTACACCTCTCTACTATTTTACACAAGTGTATATAATGAATGACATTGTTAACTACCTTTATTTGGACGGAAGGTGAGCTTGTTGCGCACCATGTGTATGGCAATGAGGGTGAGGAGAACAGATGTGAAAGGGATGAGAAAACACAGGTTTTTGGCAACTGACTGCTGAATGTAGGCAATCCCCAAAAAAACAACTGTTGAATTCAGATTGACCAGCCAGTAAAACCTGTGGATTGTAGATCCAGCATTTCAAACTATTGTACAATGCATCTTAAGACGATTTAAGACCTTTTCACATAAAGAAATATATAATACTTTTTAAAATAGTTATTAAAAATGATTATTAAATATTACAATTATTTTTTCACATCGACTAATGGAGGCCGCCATTTTGAGATCACACGATCAGCTGAATGCTACTACTTTCTTTCTGTAAACCTGTTTAGAGACATTTGTTTACGAAGTGAATCATGGCCAATGTATTGAGCATATTTCGACAATGTCATCATTAAAGGGATAGTTCACTTTGAAATACATTTTTGGTATGTTTTAGCTTACCTCAAGGGCATCCAAGATGTAGGTGTCTTTGTTTCCACAGTAGTTTCAATTTTGATATTTTTAGGTCAAACCGTTCTTGTCAGTCATATAATGCATAATAATCAGGCATATAATGAAACATGATTTTATGACTCGTAAATGTAAGTTTGGTTTGTGTGAGAAAACGAACTGTATTTATATCGTTTTTACCTCTTGTAATCAGTCACGTCCAAGTAAGTACTCTGAGGGCAAGGGGCGCTTCGGTCTGC